GCTTTTTTCGTTTTTGAGTAATTGACATTTTACTGACGTCCAGTGGCTTGTGACATACAATTTGTCCCACCCCCTTTTGACTCTCCCCTGACCGAACTACATGGAATTGAGAACTCGTTTTTTTACCGTATATGTCAAATGGGTAGCACATTTTTGGCCGCCACTGTATATTGTAAACATTTGACAATTCTGCAAAAATGAAGTGAAAACAACATCACTCTGAACCTGTGCACGATGTTTAACATTACGAGAGAGGTATGTTATATTCATCATGAGGTTCTTATTTTAACTTTGAAAGTTTTTTTCTTATTAAAATTCAATTTCATCACATTTAATGGTTTTCCTGTGTCGATCAACTAGGGAGGTGCATTTCCGCCTATATATTTAGGTTGCTGCAGATGTGAGGCATAGAAAAAAAGTCTTATTTCTCATTTACTTTCTTCTTAGAAAAAATTTTCGTTGTTCACTTCTATTTGTCTGCGTTGCCTTCCGTTTTAATCTGAATATATCAAGTTTATCTCAAGGTTTGTACTCGATATAACGCCAATTAACACCAAACATGGGCTTTTCAACTTTACCAAGATATGTCACGGTGTTCTAGATGGAATTTTACAATATTTTACATTTTTCTATCGGTTTTTCCTGTTTTCTGCATTTTTCCTTACTCAATGTCAGCTGGACGGTGTCGGAAACAAGATCTTTTCCATTTTTTCCAATTTGTTCACGTATTATATGCATAGATTCTCCTCAAGAACTAACACCTCATGCCATACAGATAGGTGTTAATCTCAATAAGGATATTTTTTGTCGACTTCATATGAAGTCGTATATTCAGTATTAAAATAAACAAGAGAAAAAATTTTGAGCTCCTTCTAAAAACTCACGAGAGACTATAAGAACGAGTTGTGATGAACTCATGAGATTTTTTCACATGTACATTTTGAACTACTTGATCTATATTGTTCAATTGTGAACTTGATTTATACAGAATTGGTCATCAACATCTTAGTTGAAACCTATATATTCTTCAAAAATAGCATGGCTTTGTAAGTTATAGTTTATTCCGATTTATCTATCCATTGACATACATACAAACTGTGTTCTAGAGTTACTTTACGAAATAAATACAAGTTTAAATTTATAAAAAGACGTGTAATATTATCTTTTTAGTAGTAGCTTTTTTTAAGATTATCCACTGACGAAAAAACATTGATGAAATAGTTGATGAAATATCAAGATACTGAGTCTTAATGTTTTTCTCTGAAGTTCCTGATCAACAGACGTTCAATTTTTTGCTTCATTGACTACACAAAGAATATTTTATTTGAACAAGAAAAAAAACAAAGAACAAGCCATAATATATAATAATATTTAATTTTCCTCTAATTTTTGTGGTGGTGGTCCACATGGTTGTATCATTTTTTTAAGAAGATTAAATCTGACTTTGGCTTTTGTTTCATTTTCAGCAATGGCTATATAATTTAACAAATCAAAATGTCCCAAATATGATGCATACGTATCACGGTGAATATTTGATGCCCATTCCCATTTTGTTGTATCAGCATGACCCGTACCTAAAAATAGAACAGACAAAATAATTATCGAAATTAATAGAATAAGTATCCCATCGTCTTACCAATATATTTCGATTGTAAATGTTCTAATTGCGAATGAATATTATATCGTTCAGCCATGATTTTAACAACAGAATAAAACAAGTTTTTTAATCTAAAATAGTATAAAAGATGTCAAGGATGATAACTAAACGATCAGAGTATACATGTTAATCAAATAAACATATAATTATTTTTGGCCATTTTATTTCTAATACGTGAGTGATATACAGTGCCGATAAAGGAAAATTATTGAAAGTTCAGACTACATAGGCAAGAAGGGTTTGGCGTAGGTAACAGAGCTCCGTATGGACTCAAAATTTTGGGTCCAGTTTATGGACTAAAAAAATCTAGTCCAGTCCGAGTCCATGAAAAACAGTTTTTTAAGTCCAGCCCAGTCCATATACTAAAAGATCCAGTCCGAGGTCAGTAGGTTACCATCAGGATACTTCACAGATGGGAACTAAATACTTTCCAAACCTCTGACTTTGCTGTTATAAAATCATTGTCTATTATTGTGTAATTGTCTTTTTTGTGTTTCAAACGCCGTTTCATTAGGGATGAGCTTCAGATATCAGATCAGACATTGCTATATTCTCAAACTATTTAAGAAAGGTTGAATTACGATCTAGAATTCGCTAGGCATTGACTGATAATGGCAGAGTTTTTCGTCCAAGTTCATCATCAAGAAAATGTACAAAGAGCTATAAAAAGATAGGTGTTATTTATATATGAAATTCTTACATATACATAGTTCGTCCGTCAGTAGTTAAAATAAAACACAGGCTAACACTAACAGAGACAAATATTATAGCTCTTTGTACATTTTTCTGATGATGAACTTAGACGATTCGAAATCTTAAAAATGAAGATAAATAGTGTTAATAATTCTGTATAGTATGTACTACACACTATATAGAATCGCATATAATACAAAACAACATATTTTTATCGATTTTTCCTGGATTCAAATCCATTCAAAATTTTATATCAAGTCCAGTCCATGGGCTAAAAAAATCTAATCCAGTCCAGTCGAAGTTCATGAAAAAATTTTAGTCTATTTCATACAGAGCTCTGGTAGGTAATAGATGTTGACTTTCTCTTATTACCTATTGCTACGAGATTAAATATCGTATTGTATGATGAGTCATGATAGTTTAATTCAGTACATGCACCGCACCATGAATAAAAATATATATTCTTCTCAGTGAAGGATAAAATATGGTTTATTCAGGTGTACACAACCATCAACAGTTCTAGAAAAATCTTCGCATGAATATTATCCATTTGCCGTTGTATGATATCGAATACTGTCTCGAACATGATGATTTGTTGTTGATCTCAATTTCAAAATGAGATTAAATATTGAATGATAAGCAATACAGTCAACAACTAAGATCAGGTTCTGAGTTTGAATTCTCTAGAGCGTACTCTAATTCTAAAGTTTCAAACATTGAAAATATTACGGTGATATGTCATAATCACATTCAGAGCAATGGCATGCTGTATTCGTTTTTTCCCTTAAATTATCTCTTTTTCAGGAAACACCGGCCATAGTGTACCTGCTCAAGGAGTACTTCAGTAACATAACACATAATAGTTTTCTTGATGCAAACGGGCGAGGCTTTTATCAAGCGCATAACTTAGTCACTGAAGTCTCGACAGTGAGATCAGCTCTTATTTCAACGGTTGCGGTCAAGAAAGCTGGGGAAATACAGAAGGCTTAAGTTATTCTTAGCAAAACTCGGCTGAATAATGACAGATGATGGAGAAAAGAAAAATAAAAATAAATGAAAAGAACGGATTTTCCGATTGGTCGAACCGTGTTGAATTAGTTATGCACTAAAAATATGAGCGCATCTGAAAAAACAAAAAGATGAGAAATAACTCCAGTGTACTATGAGCAGATCTGTATTACGTTCTACTGACAGTACGATAGAGATGGCGCTGCCTATTAGCGGTAATGTTCATTTGACATATCCCATGATGAAGCTGATTTATTTGATAACCGTGTCTGATGTTGATCATGAATCTGATATCCGTTTCTACTGCTAGGCCTTTCTGGATGGTCTCTTGAATGTTTCCCACGTTAGTATGTCATCGATGATGCCCTCACCCTCATCTCAAATCATGAGCTGATTATTCCTCTTCTATTGTCCGAATAAGTGGTTTTAAGTCATGTTGAATTACCCAGGTCGACTAAAACTAACTTAGCTCGAAAAGAGAAGAATAGAACAAGTGCAGCGAGTTCCGAGTAAAAAATCATAGTCGCAGATGGAGAATAACCATTTATTTCATCTTCGTTAATTTATTTTTGGGAATTATGTCTACAGTACAGGTATTTTCAATCAGAAACATTTAAATAAACTACTTTGTCTGAATAATAACAAATTCTGTGGTCTTAGAACATTCCACATCAGCATGTATTCTATAAAAAAAATCTTTATTTTTTTATTTTACCTTTATTTTATAAAAATAAATTTTTTTCGTTTATTTATATTTATTTTTTAAATATAAATGACGAATTTATATTTATCTATTATTATAAATGAACAATAAAAATAAACTGACACTCCTACTTCGTACAGAATATCCTGTTTTTCTAATAAGAATCTATTTGTTTCCTAGTCGTCATCATGTATTATATTGAATAGGTCTTGGCTACAAACTGGAAGACTGGAATCGAATGGAACGTAGGCAAGATGTAGAATTGATTGAAATTTCTTTTCGATCAATCATATGTCTTCCATCCTTCCAGTTTTTAGCAAAGGCCTATTTAATGTCCCTCAAAAATGGCTCTACGTTTTCGGATTGGATCACACTGTTTTGTTTTACTAGAGCTTTTCTTCGAGAAGCCATTATTTTTTCATCGCTCTTATGATACCTTCAGCACCCCACTTCTGTTTAACATTTAGAAGACATCGTAAGTCAAGAGACGATTTTACTGAGAAAATATGCGTCATTTTTCCTCGTTAATGACTGATCACAATATGGTAGAAACACTTTGTATCGTTAATTTTTTATATAGATTCATTAATGTAATTAACGCTAGTCGTTGGTCTTTTTTGTTGATTTGACCTCAATTACAAATATAAGATGAATTCATACGGCATGAATTTGGTAATAAGATGTATTGATCGAACTAAAATAAATGCACTTGACAGAGAACTTCTTTTGTTTCTCTGGACTTCTTTGTCCCATTGTAGTTTTAAAGGATATTCTTTTATAATAAATCAAAACCTGATATAGGAGCCTTAGTAGAATGAAACCTTAATGAAGCCTGTTGTAATCAGGATCTTGAATTCATGAGTTCTTAGCTCAAGATCATAACATCACGAACTTCAAGGTCTTGAGTTTATATTTGTATACATTTTTTTGTCTTATATGACAGCCATAGACATCATACATACAATTATATGGGATCGTAGACTTATTCTTGAATATCTATGTTCATGAAAGGAAAGCTATTCTAAATATGATAACTTTCGCGAAGAGATCTATCTAAAACTCTCACACTGGTCTGATCCACTCCCTCAACAACAAATCTTATTTTCATTCTAACTACTTTTTATTGATTGAATTATAATATAACAAATGATGGATAGCGACACTAAACATGCTATCATAATCAATATGGTATGAACAGGTAGTAATGGTGCAGTTACGGATAAAATAAAACTACCTAAATATTTCCATAAAGCATAATTAGAAAATGCAGCTGTTGTTTCTTCTTCATTTTCATTAGAATATATCAGACCATACGTAGCTATAAAAGAAAAAATCACAGCCAATATAGCTTTTTAGGATGAAGAGTTGACATTCACAAGCACCGGTTTATTCCTGTTTCATCTTTCTGAATAAGATTAATGAGTTTTCCTGTAAAAATCAAAACTTAGTACTGTGGCTGGAGGAGCGAACGTATAACGAGGGAACTTTCAGTGTATCCACTATTATGAGTATAATAGTCGACGAATGACTTCACTATTGTCTCGAATACTCTGACTAGCCTTCGAGAAACCCTAGACGTTGTAAATGATAAGTCACATGTTTTCGACTATGCTGTACGCATACCTGTGTGTAGGCACCAATTTTGAGTAAAAAATCTCAAAAAGCGATACCGACGTATCGGTAAGAAAGTTTTGATGCGTGGAAGTAAATAAAAGTATGTCTAAACTCGTTTTATTTTTGCTAGATTAGCCATTTTTTATTCGAAAGAGTTTTGTTTTTTCCACACAGGAAAATTGATTAAACTCTTAATCAGAAAGATGAAACAGGAATAGGTCGAAACCCAGTTACTGATACTAGTACACGTCTGTTAGAGACTTACATTGTAAAACTACAACTAAGATCGAGACAGCCATTCCCCAGCATATTGCTATTAGAAATAAAATATAGATTTGTGATGAAACTGGATACCAGAACAACATTAATAATATCAATGTATAAATTACGACCGTTGAATAAATAAATAAAAGTGTATTACCAACGTACTTAATCGCGTAGCCAGTAATGAAACTAAACGACGATTGACTTAAACGACACAAAAATGTAACCAAACCTATAGAGTTAATCGGTTATTAAAAAACACAGGCATAGTCATTTATAGAAGGTCGACATACCAATGTACTGAAGACCAACCGAACATGTAACAAAACTCTAGAGAAAAAAATTAAACAAGAATCATAATCATTTAAAAAGAACTTTCTGGATGGTTAACTAATAGCATTAATAAACAGACAATAACGTACCACAACATATAATCCTTCAATATAGCTTTGACAACTGCCAATGAGATAAGTTACTGGTATCAACAATAATTGATGTGTTTGTTTCATTTGTTTAAAAGTTAAGAAGATACATTTGATCACATTACGGACGACCTCGTTTATATTTCTACCTTAGAATTAAGCGATAAAATGATTGAAAGTGTTTATTATTCAGTCTTATTCGACATACCAGAGTTTTTTGTAGATTTATTTTCAATTAATGTTACCAACAACAGAATACTCATTGAAATAGCTATGATACAAACAAAATAAGATATGCCGACCTTAAAAAGAAACCACTCATATATGACAATTGAAGTGATAAGAGTACATTACGTACTGTTTTAATGGACAATGTTTTATTGGGGTATTTAGCCACTTCTCTTGCATGAAATGTAGCACCACAGTGAATGTGATTACTATTAAACGCTGAATCAGTCTCATAAAATACAAAATAAGTGATTAAACTTCCAACAACACCACCTAGAAATAACTTTCAAATTCCACCAACACATATGCAAAGTCAAGTATGTGTCTTTTACCTACCTATTTGATTAATACCATTAAATATTCCAAAAAACTGACACATAATAGGCGTTATCGGTTCATTAGTTTGTCTGGCATAAGAAAGACTTAATTCTGTGACATAGTTGCCTTGCACTGTCATCAATGGTGCTTTCATCAAACCAATTAGTAATGATGCTGTGAAATGATACATATGTTGATAATTCTGAAAAGATTTTTTTCATTTTTTGTTTAAATCTTTTTTCACTCTTACTCACATGTATATATTGGCCATGACATAGAATAAAATAGATTACTACAAACGTAACTAAAAACAGCCAGTTGACCAATCAATATTGTCCATTTATATCCAAGCATTGTTGACATTGGTGTCGGAAGAATAAGAGCGGAAAGAAATGTACAACCTTCTATTAGTGCTATTGATATGAAACCAACACTGTCTTTCAAATTAATATTTTCATTTAATTTCATAACTGTTCCTTGTGCCAAATTAATTAACGTACATAACAGACATAAAGAAATAAAATTTTTTAATATTTTTTTTTTAGTGGGCAGAATTTCATTATCCGTCGACCTACAAAATAGTCTAATAGTTAGCAAATGTCGAATACAAATATAAGATTGAACAAAAACTATCGTTAGTGCCACGATTCTAATCACTAATCAAATAAAATCTTTAGTTAGAAAGATGTTAATTTACATGGCAAATTCTTATGAAGTAACTAGAACGAAGCAAGCATTACAAAAAATGTTTCTTGAACTATCGAGAGATAATTTGTGTCTACACTGGACAATATGTATAGGAGACGTTCTGATTTCATCGAGTAGAAAGCTGTAGCTAATGTAAAATGTCATTGTTATGCACAAGAGAAAAATGAACAGTAAGATGTTTCAAAAAAAAGTATATAAAACATTTTTCTTTACGTTGAATTTTTGATTGATACTATATTTATCGACGAATTCATTGAATCTTGCATGAAAAATGAAATGTTCCAGAATTTGTCGAATAAAAGACCGTCTATTAATCGAATAAATTTGTGTTTCTCAAAGATAAAACGTATACATATTTTTCTACCTAAAATCAATAAAAATAATATACTAGTAAAATGCACTGACTTTTCGTATGTACTAGAAATTACTCATACAATCAACACTTGACACCAGCCTGTCACTTCAACTAATCAACGGCTTTTTAAAAAAGAAAAGACGATCCCCGAACAGAAAAATAATTTTATCATAGGTTTTTGATAACAGAAACATCTGGACTCATTGTATATTACAAATTTCTGAACGAACGGATTAAAAATAACTTATTTTTATCTCAAATTATGAAATATTGAAATATTAAATCATAATTGATAGAAAAAAGGAACGATTTATGACAAACTCATTATTAATTAACTTTTACGAGAGATTGGAACCTTTTCTTTATAAACCTAAACAGGAGATATTTTGGCATTCATATGTTCTGATCAAGAGACGGTTACATTACAAAGAGTAGTCTAGTCAGTTGAATCAGTATCATAGTGAAAATGGTTTTTGATGAATAATATCGTAAATATTCAGATGTACAATACTCTCTGTTTTAGAAAATGTTTGTTTTTCGTCCACATAATGGTTTTTTATTTCTTTAAAAAAAGGATTGTGATGTTAGAATAAAAAGTTGTTTGCTTCTTTCGATCTAAGAAAGACTGAGCAATAAGCTACCTCTCAAACACATTTCTAGCGTATTCAGCATGGCTTTCTACCCAGAAAATCGTAATAGCAGTTCTCTAGGTGGAATATCACTGAGTTATGGGCTCATTAGTGTAAAAGGACTTGTCTGTTTTGACAAGGTTTTTAGTAAAAGTCGAATAAGTTTTAAACAAAAAACGTTTTCGAAAACTTTTTTTCTCAGTACTTCTATAAAATATGCTTTTTTCTTTATTTGTTGTGGCGTTTGATTATTTATTAATGAGATATTAGACGAAACTTTTTCGTTTTTCATATGATTTGTTCAGCTACCCAAATCGAATTTACCCTATCAGATCCTGTGGGATACTTTTAATTCCTCTGATTTCCGGAGTTCGGACGGCCGACTGGATCCCGAAATCGGAATTCGTTCAGTTCTTTCGCTTCCCAATATCTAAATCGTGGAGGATCCGGAGATCGAATTCAATATCCGAAACCAGTCGAATCCGTTAATTTTCGATCAACGCAAATCTACAGATCCTGGGGTGCGCGCTTCTTTATGTTTTTTTCTTTCTTTTCTTTGCGCATAATATATTCAGCGTTTTGTTTCGAAACAGCCGTACTTTAAATATGGCATTGCAGAAAATAAAACCAAGAAAAATTTCTTCTCAAATTCTTAACAGTGTAGGCCATCGCTCAGACTGTTCAAAAGACGTGTTGTACACGTCATAGCTAGTGGGCCCTTACACTCTCTCGGATGAGAGTGTGAGCGACAGGAGTCACTAGAAAATAAACTAAAAAAAGTAGGAAATAAAAAATCTAAGACTATTTTTAGCCTGTAACTGCCACGCGTGATTTCTTATAAAGTAATGTTACGATACATATATTCGACATGTAATCATAAATCGTATATTGTATACGTGATTGGCATAGGTCATTTTATTATTTTAGCTGTTTTAGCATTGCGATCCTCCTTTCACCTAAATAGTTTTTCCCGTCTATTTAGTTTTCTATTTTATCTTTTGGATATTTCGTTTGCAAGTATATTCATCGTTCCCTTGTTAGTATTTGAGTATTTCATCTCGTGACGCGACAGATACCTTATTTTTGATAAAGAACAACTCTCTTGTTTTATAAGGCTGTTAATGATGACTTCTAGGGAAGTATCTAATAAACATCCGATTGTTCCAGGTGGATATGGTGAAGTAGAAGTTGGTTATTTTACAAAATACAAAATTACAGTTTACGAGTTTTACAAAATTATTGTTTCATTGTGACCGAATGTTGCCATCTGGCAACACCAAGGCATCAGAACACCAAGCATTTCCAGGATCTGAAAAAAACGTTTGTTATATTGGTGACCAAGGTGTAGGGAATATACTGCAAACGAATTTTTTGCAACTCAGGTTTAGTAGCCGGCTGGAAAGGATTAAACAGAAACTTTTATTGTAAAAGTCCTGCTTAACAAAAGCAAACAGATTCTTAAATCTTTCTTGCGCATACTCTGTAATATGAACTGAATACAGTAAACGCCTTCCTACAGCAGACTTCCACAGTATCGTGCAGTATCACGGCTAGGCAAGTCAAGTCAAAAATGTCCCAAGTTCAACTTCAAGTCAAACCAAAGTCAAGTCAAAGTTGACTTGACTTGGTCCGAAACTTTTCGTACATATACACACTAAAAGATAATGTGTCACATGTGTCGCAAATTGCGATATAATGTGCCACATAATCATCTCCGATACCGGGAGCCGCTTGTGAGACATTTTTTCCATTGACGCTGCGACACATTCCACTGCGTATTTCTACTATACAGAAAACAGTGGAAATTAAGTATTTTTGATCCCTTATTTGATTTTAAGAATATTTTTAGTTTCTTTTGGATGCACTACGTAATGTCAACGAGCTCAATCCACCCGTAATATTCACAGCCCTTCAAAATATTCAGTTTTCGAGATCTGGCATTAACAGCGTAGTCAAGGCCTCCGATTGGTTGGTTTTTTGTCAGAGGAAAAATGTTAAAAGGTTAAAAAGACTTAGACAGGGGCCTTTATTCACGAACAACATCAATGCAAAATTGAAAGAACTTAAAAAGTCCGAAAATTTTCTTATCTTTTACGCATTAGCGCCACCCACAGCTCATCAAAATTGAAGAGCAGCCGAGCCTTAAAGCCTTAGCCTTCATTGTAATGAAGACTACTGAAAATAGTAAAATATAAAATTTAGCAATTTTTTTAACAGAGTAGATCCTCAAATGGCCTCAAGAACTGTGTCTAAAAGTTTTTAGTAACGGCGATACAAACATGCGACACATTCTTTTGCGACGCAATTTCGTGGTTGTTGCGTCGTTGTTAAAATAAAGGATAACGTATAGACTCCACAAATTTTTGTAATTTCAGGCGAATAGCCCAGGTTTCAGCAAATCGTATGATGTATGATGAGCTGGAATTCGAAGTTATTTTAGTCGAAAAATAGAAGAAATAATCCCGGTGGACATTTTCGATGTAAAATGAGATTTTCTGTGTAACAAGACAAGCTAGACAAAACCAGAGTCAAAATATGATCTTATTTAAATTCAGTTCTGAAAACCTACTTTACAAGCTACAAGAAACTCTAAAAAACTTTTAGAACTAGTTTAAATAAAAGAGAGAAAAAATTTGATTCTTTCTTCAGATGGTACCAAAAACAACCAACTTTGGTCTTATTTGATGTATATCTCGGCACCTACTTGAAATGGAGAGTTCTTTTTCTCACAAGTGAATGACCATTACTGAACAAACCATTACTAAACAACCAAAATAAAAAAAAGAAATTTAAAATCGGTTGAGCAGAACAGTTTTCATAGGCAACTGTACTCATATATATTTTTTTACTGCAGTGTACAATTTTACAGAATAAAAATTCTATCACATTGTTGTTCACTTAAAATCCCCATGAATCTGCTCATATTATAAAGCCACGTTCACGCGATACGTTTTAACTTAGTTTAATCTTAATCTTTCCGATCTTGTCCCGTGCGTACGTACTCAGTTTGTTAACTTAGTTTAAGAACTCAGTTTGGCAATTTGCCAACTTAGTTAAGTTAACCAAGTTTATAGAACTCGGTTAAGAACCCCCTATTAAACATCGATCAATCAGTGATTAGCTACATCTTCTACACATGCGTTATGGTCAAATAAATTATACACATATGCAGTTCGAAGCGTATTTGTAGCTCATACAGCGTCCCGCAAATAATTCGAGAAGGTAATTTTCACATTGATCAATCCCCAGGAGCGTCTGAACGGTATCACTTTGAACTCGGTTAGGATTTGGATTAAATTAAGTTAAAAAGTGTCGAGTGAACGTGGCTTAACCGAATAACACTTTATTTTATTATGTACAGTAGTATTAATCAAGACAAGTTTAATTTAAAAGACTGCCTCTTAAAAAAAGATTTATTTTAAGATTTAAATTTAAGCACTGGCTCAGTAAACAAGTATAACTCACAGCGAGATAGGATCAGACCTAGATCTTGTTTATGTTTTTTATCAACTAAGCCTAATGAAAAGTCATCGGAAATGTCCCCTGTTGTTGATGGTGTCATCATACCAAAAACTATACGATCTTTCAACGATTTCTGAACTAAATTAATTAACAGCTAGAGATCAATAACTAGACTATGCCTTCATGCATAAAAAAAGAAATGAATAGATTTTCTGTCCTATCCCAATATATATCATAGAACTACCCTATAAAAAAATTCTAATGCGCACCGGTGCGCATCGCATGCCGTAGGTCACTGGCTGGCACCGGAGCGCACCCGTGCCCAGTAAGTGCCGATTGGCACCAGTGCCGATATATTTCTGCCCAAAAAGTGCCGTACTGAAATTTTATTTAATCAATTTAATTAGTTTTTTTATTATGGTTGTTTTGTTAAGAAGTCCTTTTTATTTTCGTTTCATCCTTCTTTTTTATCATGTGTTATGTCATAAGAAAGTCATATGTTTATAGTGACCTTTCTCTTTCTCTCTGTTCTACTGATGTCATTAGGCCGACCAGTAGTAAATGACATATTCTTTCCTATTCTTCTTGTACGTCATGACCTAATGATGTCATGTTCTGACCAGTTCTTCTGACGTCGTTAGGTTCTTTTCTAATCCTTTCTCGGATTTTCGGTGATATGTATATATAGCTGTATTTTTGCGAATGTAGAAGCATAGTAACCATAGTAGTATTAGTGAATAAAGTGAACAACTTAGAGAATTAATCAAGATAGTTAACTTAACAGTTTATACTAAATTTTGTATTAGAATGCGGCCGGCAATGATCAGTACCATATTGACATGCCAAAACCAAGCGGCATTGTCTCAATACTTCTCTTGAGAAGGAAAAGATGAAATCAGAAAGACATTCGAAATATTAGAAGTATACTATGGTGTTAATATAGACAGAAATTGACAAAACAAAATGATGATTGCAAACAAAAGTTCGACACTGGTGCGCATCGGTGCCCAGAAAAAAAATTATTTGGCTCCGTTACTCATCCGTGCACAATCAGTATCGATAAATATATTTTTTTGTAGGATGATCCACAACATGTGCGTTTATCTTTCAAATAAACACAGATATATCATATATCTGACACACATGGAAAAAAAAAAATAATAAACAATTGCTTTTAGTATAACATCATGTTAGTTAGTTGAATTCTTTTACGAACAGGTTCTGTTCAGAAAAAAGTAAAAAACTCCAGAAATCGGAAAATCAAAACTCATTCGGAAAAGAAGCTCAAAATCGGAAAAATTTCGATAAATTGAAAGACTTAGCAACCCTGCTCTCATTACATATTCTCACAACGCTCTTAGATCATTATTAGTGGTGCTGAAATAAAAGTTTTGAACTGTTAACCTCCTCATATAGATCTAACTTGACAAAGCACTTGATCTCCTCTAGTTCAAGACTAAACACATATTGGCAAGCTCAATGTTTCGCGTCACCCTATATTCAATTTTATTAAAATGTACAGTTTTAAACAACAGTCAATGCAGTTAATAGAAAGGAATGGTATTATTTACCAAGATAGAATTTTGTAAAAAAAACAAAAGAAAAAATAATCGATTGCTTTTTTTCATTGATGTGTATTTGAAAAATAATATTATTTTAATATGATTGCCTTTCTCGATCAGTTATCGATCTGTTTGCGTCAACAATGATGAGGCGATCAATGGAAATGCAATGCAAGAATATGCAATTGAGTGAATTACGCTGGTATTGTACCGTTTGAATGAAGAAATTCAGAAAAATTCACTCGCTTTAAATGTTTTTTTCTGTTATTAAACTATATAGCACTGCTCTCAGTGATTATGACAAACGAAGTTTCCCGACTGTCACTGTCTTTTTTTTCTTGGAAATTAACTCTTTGTTCAATGATTGATTCTTATGGTTTTCATGCGAAAAATATAGTAAATAGTAAATCAAAAGTGTTATTGTAAGATACCAATTAATAGGTTTTGAAACGGTGAATTTTTTCAGTATGTGCAAAAATATTTTTACGTATGTGTAAGCAAAAGCAAGACAATTAGTTTATCATTTCTTTGTAGCTCGAGTTCAATTGAGTTTTTGAAGAAAAACTGTTAACGATATCTGATTTTTCAGTGTTTCTCCTGCCGATACTGGCACTTGTGTGCTAAACGTTCATGAATGTCTCAAAAAATTTGTCAAGTCTTAACGAATCGAATTAACTTTATTTTTCGTAGAGATACTTTTATTTCAATCATGCGTGACATTTTCGACGTAAAATGCAATTTTCTTAGAAAAGAGAACTGCTAAAGTGCTGAAAGTTTTATTATAAATTTATCATCAGATCTGAAAAAAGGGTAGAAAAATCAAGGTTACAACTGTGATAGTTGGTGAGGAATTGAAATAATAAAAATGAAAATCTCGTGTGTCATTTAGTGTAAAGTCATTGTTTTTCCCCTTGTTCTCTTCTTTTTTTTATTCAACCATAAAACATAATAAAAAATTTTTTATCAAACTATTTCTCAACTCATTGGTTATCGAATTACATATAAATAGTTTAAGTGTATTTAGTTGCTGGCCTGTACACTGTCTCTCGTGACAGTAAAATACAAGTGTCTGTCAGCACATGTTTTATTAAAAAATACCACAAAAATAAACACAAATCTTAAATCCAATTATATGTTCTGGAAGCCAAGAACTTCAGCTAAGAACAGGTAGAAAATAATTTAGCTCAATAGAGAAAAATTATAGAGAAAAAGGTAAACTTTTGACGACAGATAGCGTTGAAAATCACAATGTTTTGCAATGATAAGTTGGGAGTAAAGGAAGATAAAATCTTGGCGTTTTGGATGGAAGTAGGTATCAAACTAAGGAACAAATCAAAAAAATAAATTATTGAAATTCGTTTAGTAGAAGAGGAGATATAGAGGTTTTACATTTCGGAGTAACACTAGCGCGCAATTCACTCTCTTATGCAGTATAAACGCAAGTTTGCATCGTATAAAAGATAAATAAATCTCAAAGCACACAAGAAAAGAGCAGGAGGTGTTGTGTGCCTAAACAAACAAACAAAAAATGCAACTAAACATTAGTAAAGGCCAGTAAACCTTCTGTACAGTGTCAAAATAGTTAAATACGTTCTAAGAGACAGAGAATGCTAGATGATTGATTGTGTTACAGCTAAATATTTTTAAACCCTTACAACTCTCGTTCTCTATACTCTACTTCAAAAGACTATCAAAATGTGTCATGGAAGACACGTTTTGAAATACTTTGTGTACTGTATTGACAACGTGTATTGTGTTAAATATTTTTTATAAAAACACCAATTTTATCAGTTTATTTACAGACAAATATATACATGATAAAGAAATCGTACTTAAGTTAAAACTAGAAAGCATTAATTTTGTACAGTAAATAAAATAGGACTATATGTTTAGCTTTTGTAACCCGGTTTAGACTAAGTTTCTCATCCATCATTGGTCACTTCTAATATTGTTATTCATAGATTAGATTCAGTCCTTTAACTAGATAGAATATATGTCATGTCAAAGATCATTTTTAGAATAAACTAATCACAGTTATTCCAAAGCTTTGCGCATATCACTTCAAAAGCTTTGTATTTTGAGATAGCTCAAGAGCCAATCTTGAAATCAACTAAGGGTGTTTCAATCTTAACTAGTGATTCTCTCACTAGGTTGTGTTTCTAATTCATTCATTATTTGAGCAAAATATTCACTACCTCCAAACATTTTCCGTGATCTTGTACCTAATGGTATTCGATTATCAATCTGGTCTATGTCATCCTGAGTTGACTTTGTTTGTTGTAAATATTTTCTTAGAATTGAACGTGTTTGACCATGTTTCAAAGGTGTTACCTGTTGTATGGATCGTTGATGTTGAGATTGGTTAAGTCTCTGAGATGAAAATAAATCCGATAGTTTATCCGGATCAAAATCACTACTACCATCATTTGACATTCCATCGGTAGTACTTGTAATGTCAGTTAAAGTATCTGCACGAAGTTTTGGTAATACTTTTGCTTTTGATATTGCTGTTTTCCATAAAGAATGTTGATGTTGTTGTATTTGATTAATAGTACCAAAATCTACGCGTCGAGAAGATGTCAATGGCTCACAATCTATTGTTGCACGAAGTGGACTTGAATATTGAATACGAGGAAGATCAGAAAATTTTTTTATTGAAATATTATTGGAGATGATAGGAGATTTTTGTAACTCGACTTGAATTGGAGGTAAAATGTTATATTTTGGACGTGATAATGATTGTTCATCTAAAAATATTAAGAACAGATAAATAATGGAAATAAATATTTTCTCTAGTTATTATTACCCTTCATATTTTGGTTTGATGTACCTGAATGATCTCGGATTATTGTTTTTCTATTTTTTTTTTGATTATCTTCCATATTTTCTACTCCAATTTCTTTCTGAAATTGATAAACATACCATGTACATGTTGAAACGAGTTGTTCAGCTTGTGATGGTTCAATGCCAAATTCTGCTAGAGAACTTTTAAGAAGTTCATTATCAAATTTTCTATTTGTTTTTAACCATTTTAAATAATCACTATATTTCTCTTTTAATAATGATACATCATTATCACCAACATTATTTGATGAAAGTTGTTGAGATTGTATATTGGTATTATGATGTCGGTCTGAACTTCTGGTAGAATGTTGACTAGATGTAATTGAATGCATTGGTTGACTTTTTTTTAAACGACGTGTTTTATAGGCGATACTCGGTAGTTTACTAGATTTTAAATGTGATGTTGAACCATATTTTGTTGTTGTAGTAAGAAACATAATATATCCAATTTAATATTAAGCCTATAAATAGATTAATGATATAACATCATAATAAAATTTGTCATATTTTATTAAAAGAAGAGTTAAGTTTAAAATATTAAAAAGAAAAAAAAAGAGAAGAAAAAGATTTATTAAACTTTAACTTATATACATTTGATATTTATACTGCTAAAGAAAAAAGAAATGGAGTATATGATTGTTATTACGTAGTTAAAGATAGTTATATTTATTTTTGCCATATTCAGATGTTAAACAAAAGGAGAAAAAAAAAGTTTAGGTATATGCTTACTTCATTGTGAAAAATTGAACTTTTCTCATATTAAGATGGTGCTCCCACCTGCATATAACAAGGCAAAGAAGAAGAAAAAAATTATTTAACAATAATGTCAATCATTTTTGAGTTTTTTTTTTTTTTTTGTTCACAGTATATCAATATACAAACTTGAACTTATTTTCAAGTATCGCTCCTCATTCACATTTTCTTCTTTTCTAATAAAAAATGTATGTTTTGGCTAAATAAAGACGTGTGCCACCATAAATCATTTAAATACCTATATAGCTGTCACACAACTATGCATAATCTCTCTACACTTTTCAACAACAACAAAAAAATTGAGAAAAAATGTGACAAACTTTTCATAATCAAGTGGATATTTTCAAGTAGTTTAAATAAAACATATAATGCAATGTATAGCGTTAAAATAAAACAAAATCTTGTACAATTTAAAAGGTAATTCATATATTGATACTTGTGCGTTTGCACGCATATGAAAAAAAGTTCAATTGAAATCAAATAATTCTCATAATTTCAGATTTGTGAATAAAATTAACTGGAAAAACTATGCTGTCAAGATTTAAAGTTATGTATAAATTTTCTATCAATAAAAGCCTGATTATACAAGAAAAAATTTAAAATGAATAAAATCTTTTTCAAAGTTAGATAAAAAACTTATTGTACATAACATGTAAAAAGCTACCGACGAATGATTCACAAAAATCTACAGATCAATTTCACAGTACGATCGTAGCAAAAGTGTACTCAAAAACAGTACTCAATTAAGAATCTCATTGTATATAAAAGATGGTCATTTAGTCAAAATAAGTCTCAAAGAAATCGTATTTTGTTACCGGCTGGCATTGAATCGAATTCATCATGTTTTTCTCTAAATGGTATGCAAATAAATTTTGCTTTTAAAGGTCGAACGGATAAGGATTCGATCAATTAGCTGCTCATTAAATTTTACTTTCACACAAATACACAGACAAATACAGATGGAAAGGACAAGAAGCCAAATCATTCTCTGGTATATAACACACTGCGTGACATATTTAATCCAGAAAATTATTTTGCAAATTTTACAAAATTTCAAGATCTATCTCATCTGGAGCAGATAACCATTTTACGATGAGATTCGCCTATCCCTGCAACGGTCGATTTCCATAAGAAAATCGAATTAAAGTTCAACATTTTTCCCCGAAGTTCTTCATATTAGTGCAACATATGAAAGAGAAACTAAAACGGAAAGAGCTAAGTGTTCTAAACAAGTCAAGACATGAAAAATAGGCTCCTTTTGAAGCCATTTTTCTAGCTAAAGAGTAGAGTTAAAACTACGCAAAAACAATGCGTTAGAATCAACATTTCAACTTTAATCGATCGAAGTATCGGTGAAAATTACAACAAAACAAAGTTTGAGGAAAATGTCACAACGACGACGACTTGACGACTCTCCAAGTGTTCTTTTTGCAACAACGTCAGATGATTTGTGACCTGCATGATAAATTTCACCGAATGACATAACTGACAAATGTTTTTCGTATAAAAAATTTCTTCAAAAATTTTCGGCTTGAAGGCATCTTTAAAAAAAATATTTTATTCTTGAAACTGTTTTGAATCAATGAAATATAGACTGTTAATGTCAATGAACATGCATATGCTAAAAATAAAACTTTCGTACAAAAAAAATGCTTTTTTTGGAACGTGTGACCTCGAACTGAAAATTTTTGATGAAAGTTTTTTATTTGAGAAACATTTGTCAATTATGCTATTCGATGCTGTTTATCATGTAAATCTCAAAGCTGAATTCGAAATCCCGTCAAAAACTTTAGTTTTACCTACAAATCGGCATCTTAGACCGATCGGGAAATCAAAATATCGGTATTTACTTGAAATTTTTTGCGATAATTAATCTTTTCTAGTCAAGCTCTTATCTTTTTCAGATTGTCCAATACATCGAATGTAAACGTGGCAAACTTTCCATAAAATCACTAATAAGATGTTTGAGTCGACTGCGAATTAGCTGGTTATATCTGTCTTAAAGTTTTAAGATGCTTAATCCATCTTACATTCTCTTATCTTCTTGCACGTTCACTAATTCGCAATCGACTCATCTTATTTTAAGATGTTTTCTGGGAGCACAGTGATTCACAGCTGACAGAGATCAAAATTAACTTTATCGAATTGAACTTGATCGATTGATATATCTCACGAATCTTATCTAGATATCTCATTTTGGTGATGGAACCAAAACTGAACCGGAAGACTACTGAAGATATTGTGAATAGTCCAATTTGTAGAAAATTAAAAGAACTCTCAGCTTTCTTGTTTGCATAGTCGCCGAGTGACAGGGAGAAACCATTGTGAACTTAAAACAAAAATGGACCAGTTCCATAAGTTATGGAGATCGCTTCTTCATCATATGAGTTAATCTCCATGCTTATACCCTTATCATTAAAAAGCTTTTAAAGGCCATGTTCATAGAGTATTATAAACCGAATATACTAAATATGTCTCATAGTATCGAAGAATGTTTCTTTGAAAGTCTTTTCAAACACTATTTTAAAATGCAAAGAAACTATTGTAAAGCAAAGACTAAAATTTTTCTTCTCAAATATTCCTTTTTTCTCATCTACAACATACCTGTCCAATTCGAATTAAGTGTAGCAACACGTCCTCTTTAGACTCATATGAAAAGATGTTTAGTACTTTTGGAATATAAATGCTTTGCAAGTTTCGTAAATCTATCTTTCGTACCACTTTTTGATTGATAAACATGGCCTTTAAAAGCTTTTTAATGATAAGGGTATAAGTATGAAGATGAACTCATATGATGAAGAAGCGGCCCCCATAACTTATGGAACTGGCCCATTTTTGTTTTAAGTTCACAATGGTTTCTCCCTGTCATTCGGCGAATATGCAAACAAATTAATACAGAAAGCCGAGAGCTCTTTTAATTTTCTATAAATTGAATACGCCAGGATGTCTTACAAAAGTGGGCTATGACTAAAAACATGCAAAAAAGAGATGAACAAAGGGGATAAAACGAATGTCAGTTTCTCTCCTTGGATATAGACAGGTTAGAAAAAAAGTAGTCAATTATTTGTTATTTACGGGACTTTTAACTTACAGATAAATCTCATTATATGTGTGGGGACAGCGAATTGACAAACTATCGTGT